CCAACATTGATCCCGTTCTTTGGCTGGATCAATGTTTAAACGCTATGCACATTACAATGCAAATGAGATATGCAGGAAAACATAAATGGGGCTAGTGGTTAGCCGGCATTACTTTTCTAGATGAGATCATCATCATCATTTGAGCCTTATCCTAGCTATTTGGAGTTGACTATTTAAAAGAAAACAATTTATATATGCACGTTACAATGTAGATGAGATATTATTACAATATAGATGGGATATGGAGGAAAACATATATGGGATGAGGCATGCAGGAAAACATAAATAGGGCTAGTGGTTAATCATCATCATCATTTGAACCTTATCCCAACTATTTGAAATTAGCTACTTAAAAGAAAACAATTCATATGCTTTAAGGAAATGGGGGAATTCAAACTTTGGATTTCACATGACCCACCATCATGTCTAACCAATTAGCTATTTTACCTTTCATGTTATAAGGTATGCGATATTTATTTTATATCCTATTTTTTTTTTAACAAAGAAACTTTGAATCGCTAATTCTTATCCAAATCGAAATTAGTGGGTGGATGATTCAGATCCATTCTTTAGAACACTAATTATGACTATTTTCTTAGATTGAATTTTTATTTTATTTTAAAAGAGTAAGAGATATGACAATTTATCCTTCTTCCTAAAATTTTGAATATTGGTAACATGAAACTTCCTTTGAAAACTCATTCTTACACAGTATGATTGTAGAGATATTTCTTCCCTAAATTTTTAATGTTGGTGACGTGAAAATACCTTTGAAAACTCATTCTTACACAGTATGATTGTATAAAAGTTACATTTAACAAATTATTTGGGTTTTTTACTTAAGCATTGAGAAAAAGGAAAAAGTTTATATAAGGTTGCAACCTTAAAATATGGAATTAAAGATTCACCTAAAAAATCATCGGAAAATATTGTTTTAATGTTGAAAAACCCTCTAATTAATCATCTTGACATCGAGATATATGAATATGAAAAAAAAAAAAAAAAAAGATTTTGAATACAACACATTATTTAGACTGTTCATTTTCAAGATTTGTAGATGTTTATAGATCTACTTGGTTTTATCCATTTTTTAAATTAAAAATTTTGTAATTAAATATGAAAATAGATTTTCAAATAATCCTAAGAATATTTTATACCAAATTACATGTTATGATAAAATTTAGATGTGTGCCTGGATTGTATAAGGTTGCAATGTTATAGAAACCACACCTTGAGAAAAATATGACACGTCTAATATTAAATTTTTAATGACAATTTTCATTATAAAAGGATTCATAGTCTATGGTACTATGTAGTCTCTAGACTATATTGTCTATAGGCAACGCTAGGCCATTGACCCTTGGCCTAGACTAGCATAGCCACCAAACCTGGGTTTGGGCCTACCAACCAAAATTAAGGCCCCAGTCCGGGCCATAAAGGCCGTGATCAACTGCGCTGGGCCAAGCCAGCAGGTCCATTGTCACCCAGTCCTAGTTAGATAAATACTAGAATGTCATATTTCTGGCGAGTTATTTCTTATACATCAACCTATAGTTCCTTAATGGCTACTTGGACTTTATAAGTGGATTATGTTGGGTAACATGCTGATGCATCTAGAAAATAATACCTAGAATAATAAAAATAAAAAATAAAGAGGGTTGAGAGATTATAAAGTCTTTTTTTTTGCAAGGGAGTTCATGTCAAAGATCTTTTCACCGGACTCAATTTTTTTTGCTCAATTCTAATCTCTTTCTTTACAAAACCTATATATATATATATGTATATATATATATATATATATATATATATCATTTTTTTTTTTTTCTTTTCTTATTTCTCTCTCTCTATCTATTCCGTATAGTTTACTTCTCCTTTTGAACCTCCTTTTTTTCTCAAAGACAAGCTATTCCATACGGTTACTCTCTCCTTTTAAAACTCCTTTGTTTTCTCAAAGATAAGCTATTCCTTACGGTTACTACCTCCTTTTACTCTTTTATTTCCTACTTTTAAACTGCACATTTATTAAAGGAAAAAGTTTATATAGAGCGGAGGCTCTAAACAATCAAATTAGATCCCACCTCAAAATTTTCATAAAAAAAAATTGTTTTGATGCCCCAGATATTCTCAAATTGATCATCTCAACATCAAAATACATGACCATGAGAAAAAAATGGATTTCAAGCTTTGAAAACAGTGCATCTTGTAACACATTTTGGACCATTAATTTTTAAGATTTTCAAATTTTAATAGATCTACTTGATTTACATTATTTTTTAAGCTTTAAATTTTATAATTAAAGATAAATATATATATATTAAGGCTATCATAAAGATTTTTAATATTGAAACCACATTTTTCAATACTATTTGAATGTGTGCTCTACTTTGATTGTTTAGAGCGTGGGCTCCATACAAACCGCGCCTCTTATTAGACGTAACAAAAACATAGAATTTTCTATTTCTTCATCTCCTCACGCCTCTCTGTCCATTCCGTTGGGTTTGCTCTCTCCTTTTAAAACTCCTTTGTTTCCTCACGTCTCTTATCTTCCGTATGGTTTACTCTCCCCTTTTAAAGCGTGCGGTTTCTATAAGGTTTCAGCCTTAAAGCGCACACCAAATTTTAAACTTAAAAAATTTCAAAATCAATTAGATTTATAAATATATAAAAATCTTGAAAATAGACGGTCTAGATAATATGCTGCAAGATGTATTATTTTTAGGATTCAAAGTCTAATTTTTTTTTTCATATTTATACATCTGGATGTCGATTTGATCAATTAGAGGGTTTTTCAACATTAAAACAACGCTCTCCACTGGATTTTTGAGATGCATTTGTAATTCTGCATTATAAGGTTACAACCTTATATAAATTTTTTCCCCTTTTAAAACTTTTGTTTCCTCAAAGATATTTTTAAGGAAAAAAGTCTACATAGAGCCCAAGGCTCTAAACAATTAGAGCCGCCCACCCCCCCCCCCCCCCCCCGGGTCGAAAAAAGAGGCTGTTTTGATGCTCAAATATTCTCAAATTAATCATCTCGACATCAAGATACATGGACACGAGAAAAAAATAGAGTTTAAGTTTTGAAAATAGTATCTCTTGTAATGCATTTTTGGACCGTCAATTTTTACGTTTTCATAGATATGCTCGATCTAACTATTTTGGAAGCTTTAAATTTTATAATTATAGATGAAAATATGTTTTAAAGCTATCACAAAGATTTCTAATATTGAAACCACATTTCTCGACACTAGTTGAAGGTGCGCTTTACTGTGTGGTTGGTTAGAGCCTTGGCTCCCTTCTTTTAAACTACACATTTATCCAAATTTTGATTTTCTAACCAAAAGATTGTTAAAAGTTTGAATTTCTAACTTGACTTTGTATCTGAACATTAAGATAAGCTCTTATCCCCACGCACCTAAAACAAAAAAAACTATCCCTTCCTAAATAACAACATAACCTTCTAAGAAATAGCCCTTCCCTATGTTAAATAGCCCTTCCCAAAATATAACCCATCCTAAATTTTAAACAACTTTATGAAGCACACTATTTTAAATTCCCAAAAAAACACCCTACGAAGAATGAAATTAAAATTATTTCTCAAAAAAAAGAATGAAAGTAAAAATTTTGAATAACCAATTTTTTATCTGCATCACATGCTTGTTGAGGTGGGCAATTAGAAATTGAGGTTTCATTTTCTGATGAAATGATTTATCTTTTCTGATAACTGCAAATACAGCCTTGATTTTACGTTATTTGAGCCATGAACGATTATAAACTGCTTTAATCAATTGAGGTTAGTTGTTTCTTACATGATGTTATACTTCCATTGATGCAGCATACATGATGACTTTCTTCAGTGGTGTCTCTGCACTTTCAATGCTTCTTTCTCGCATTGTAAGTAAAAATTGCTTATGTTCTATAATTAAAAGTACTCTTATTCGCCAACTGGATCCAAAATGGACTCTTTACTTTCTATATGTTTTTTTTTCTTTCTTTTTTTTTTCCTTTTTTTTGGATCCTTGTGTCTTTATGGCTGGAAATGTATTGACTGTTCACCTTGGAATTTCACACTTTTGCTATAAAAAAAAAGGGTAAGCTTTTCTATATTTTTCCTACTATATAAAACTTATATACTTCCCCTGACAAGAATTGAATGGATTTTCTCCTAACAAACCGTTTATTCTGAATGGATGGCAGAGAAGACCCCAATCATAATATCGGGCCCCCTAACAAACCGTTTATTCTGAATGGATGGCAGAGAACACCCCAATCATAATATCAGGCCTCTACGCTATTTTATTTTTAATTTTTTTTTTATAAAATGCAACTAAATTTTGAGTAAAAAGTATAAAAAATTACCAAAATATCCCTAAAAATTTAAGGGTATTTTGGTCATTAGATTTTATAGAAAATATTGTTTTAATATTTTTGTTAGATACGCTCTATTGAGATGATGGCGCATATCAAATTTCATATTTATATAATTTGTCAAAAAAAAAATTTAAAAAAATACTATAAGGATCTATATCAATCAGGCTTACTTCATCGAGGAGGTAGGGAAGTATAGAAGCCTTTCCCTAACAAGAATAGGGTATAGCTCTTATCTGGTGGGTGTGCCCCTACCGTGGTAGGTATTAAGTCTAGGACACCAACCAATTAAGCCTAGGCTCTTGTGACTACTATTTATTTTTTTTTTTTTTTATTTTGTTTTGGTGAGAATAGAGCCAGGGACCTCATCATCATAGGGCTTAGCCATGCTATTCTCCATAGAGGAGCTATCTTCTGTCATGTTTTTGTCGCAATTTTGTATAAAATCATAAATTGCGTTATGAGATGCTTCGTAGGCTTGTACTGAGGAGTTAATTTCCATGATGATTCGTGGTAAAAATATTTTTCTTTTGGTCATGTAATTTTCATCTTCATCTTAGAAGGGACACTAAGAAGGAAATTATTAATGAATATTCTAAAGTAGAAAAGATAGTATATCACGATTCATTTGACGAATAATTTCAGTCCAAGACGTCATTCATTGTCTGCTCTGTTCTTGGAGATCTGTACTTGGAGATTTGACTGTATCATGGTCAATGTCTTTGTGGGCCTCGCTATATTTGATCTCTCCACAATTGAGAATGTGTGATGGACTGCTCTTTTTCGTAGTCAAACTAGAACATACGCATGTTCCCACTTGAATAACTTTTCAACGGTAAAAGGTGGAGGCGATCTCTCCTCTTTATATCAACTGTGTCAGCTAACAGTGGTCTTCTTTATTTCAGTTTTGGCAATCGAATCGAAGTGGTTCAGTTCGGTGGCTTCCGATTGAAAGTGCTTCCGAGATTGTATGGTTTAATTATCAAACAAATCTCTTGTATCTTCTATCTGTTTTGAAACCAACTACTTGTGAAACCAACTACTTGTTTTGGTGTTCTTTACTGTTGAAAACCTTTTTCAGATTTGGGTTATGGTATACTTCTAATCCTTGTGCCGTAAATAGCTTGAATGAATTGGTTTTTCATGGAAAAAAAAGAAAAAATGGTTCTTCAATTTTGTTCAAATTAAAAAATGAATACAAGTTTTCCATATTTTTTCCAATCTCTTGCAGGATCTTTATGCTCAGTTAAAGGAACTGATCCCAGAGCGGCAGGTGTGTGCTTATTCTTTTGCAATATTGTGCTATCCATTTAGTCGACTCCATGTTGCTGGTGGTAATTTTATGATGAATTATATATAAATTTGTTGCTCATTTTCTAAATTGTACAAAGCACTGCAATGATCAAAATACCTTGATCAATACGGAACTAGTAAACTACTAATTGCGAGTGATTTTTAAGTTATAGCAGATGATAAATTCTAGCAAAAGTACATACTTCCCAGCTTTTTTTATCCTCATGACAACTATAAGTGTATTAACTTTGATTTCTGAAGAACTTAGGGTAAAATGCAAATGGGTGTAACAAGAAGCAGATTATGTGGATCGAACTGATCCTTCGTGATTAACTTCAATATGACAGCATTAGAAAAAAAACTGTTTTATTGGATCATGTGGCTAGTTCTCCTTCCCCTGTCAGTGATTGATAATTAATTCCTTTTCTACATGTGATCATGGAACCAAAGTGAGAACTTCTACTGACTGTCAAAGCATCAAAAATTTTATAATGTATGGCGATCATTTTATTCTGATTGAGGTGGATAATATTTTTTATTCCTTCTGATTGATCATAGCAACCCTCCTTGCTTCCTAGAAAAATGATCATGTTTCCTCGCTTTCTCAAGAGACTAAGCTTCTTTAGTGCTGGAACCTTGAGTTAGAATTAAACAGTGGAGAAGTGGTGTTTTGGATTCTTGAAAACAACTTGAGATGCATATATTTCTTTCATGAATTGAAGGACCTTCTGCGACTGCTCAATCTTGTTGTTGAAGTTCATGATCACTATTTCAATTCTCTCTCTCTCTCTCTCT